AGTGATCAATTGAAATCTAGATCTGATGGTTTTGGACATGCATACGTAACTCAGGATATGAAAAAGAACTCATATTACAAATGGGGTCTGACAAAATGATACATGACATGTATATGAAAACCCTTCACAGTCAGATTTCCTGACAGGAGTGAATGGGAAGATGGGTTTTGGCCCAATAGAAAAGGGGGACTGATCTGGTATACAGATGGTTCCAAGATAAATAAGGGCACTGGAGCTGGTGTGTACTGCTATGGCACGAGGTGGAAACTTAGTTTCAGCCTTGGACAGTACACAACGGTATTCCAGGCAGAAGTATATGCCATGTATTATGGAGAATCTAGATAGGAACTACAGAAATAGGAAACATCTACATTCTATCTGACAGCCAAGCTGCACTTAAAGCGCTTGACAAACACCAGATCAACTCAAAATTGGTCTGGAATTGCCACCAAACTCTCATGGAACTGGCCAAACATAGCAGGGTACAACTGATATGGGTGTTGGGGCATGAGGGTATTGCTGGAAAAGAAATAGCAGACCAATTAGCTAAGACTGGAGCTGAACATCCATTCATAGGACCTGAACCTGCCTGTGACATCTCTATAGGAGTCATCAGAAAGGCAATCAGGGACTGGACAAATATGAAGCACAATAAATACTGGGGATCCATAACTGGACTGAGGCAAGCAAAGGGACTCATACGAGGACCCTCTACTAAATGAGTGAAGGAACTGTTGAAGTTAAACAGGAACCAGCTACGATGGGTGGTAGGACTACTTACAGGACACTGTCACCTCAAAGGACACCTCTTAAAGTTGGGACTAAGTAACAGTCCAACTTGTGAGAGGTGTCAAGAAAACCAAACAGCCACACATATCCTGTGCGAATGTGAGACCTTAGTTTGTTTAAGATTGCGCCACTTGGGTCAATATTTTATGGAACCAAGTGACTATTTTGACGTCCCCACATACAAGATCCTGCGCTTCATTCGAAGTGCAGGATTGTTGAAGGGATAATCAGAAAGGGAGGCAGTACAGATCACTGTTGTCACAGTGCAAGGGCCAAGAAGGCCCACCCCTTATACATTCATTCATTCAACCATAATGGCTGTACAACACCATACATGAAACAATGTATGCTCTCCTTGCTATGGCTGTTTTTCAATACATCTAACCCATATTGACTGTTTTGTAGAGATTGCTTCTCTACAGCTTTCAAAACCATTAGGAATATTAAGTTCATAGCACAAGGACCTTCATGAGAAACTAAGGGTTACTGCGCCAGTGCAGAAAATACAATCTGTTTTTTATGGTACATAAGGGCTCATTACTGTGTTCACACATGCTCATCAGGACTTTGTATCTTGAACCAAACAGACTCAGTCCAAAACCTCATAATTTATTTACTTAAAATATATCTACACAAATGCCTCCCAAGTGGTCTCTTTCTTTCAGGATTTCTGTCAAAATCTTTGTCATATTTCTCATTCTCACATGTGTGCTATATGACCTATCCATATCAATCTCCTACATAATATTTTTTTCCAATTATTCTTCCAGCCCATTCAGGGTCCTGGCCTCTTACCGAGTCCCATAATAATTTTTTTCACAGATGGCAGGACTCCTTGGGTGTGATCAGCTCATTGCAAGGCCAGCAAGTCAACACAAACACAGAATAAACACACACACCAAACATCCATTCCTTAAGTGGGAATCATACCTCAGACTGCATGGCTACTGTGGCCGACTCTATATAATATGCCAATCTGCTATAATGTGATCAACCATGCATAAAAAAACTCCCCACATGGATTAAGAAAACTAATACAAGTTTGTGATGAAATGTTTAATTACCTATGCCATGAGAATTGACAGCTGACAATAGTAAAACTCTTTTCTGTGCACACATGCATTAAACACTCACCACACTTTCACTCACTTTTATCCTTTTTAAATAAACACAATTTAATTAGTAACAAACAGCATGGGTTTTGCAAAGGGAAAACAACAAAAACAGCAATTGCAGAGTTCATAGAAGGGGTCTATAAATCGCTAGATGAGAAAGAAGTAAGTATAGGGCTATTTCTGGATCTGTCAAAAGCGTTTGACCTAGTTAATCATGACATATTGCTAAGAAAGATGACAAGAATGGGAATACGAGGGGTTGCACTAAAATGGTTTCAAACATATCTAGAAAGAAGAGAACAGAAAGTGGAAATCACATATAGATGTAGAGAAGCGAATGTAAGCATTAACTATCTATCTCAGAGTAGACCCGTAAGACATGGAGTCCCACAAGGTTCTGTTCTTGGACCAATTTTATTTTTGCTATATATTAATGATCTAGAAGCAGGTATTGAACAAGGAAAACTAACGTTTTTTGCCGATGATATAAGTATTTTTATATCAGGAAATAGTGTTAATGTTGTCCAAAGGAAAATAAACGCATTAATAAATAAACTCACAGAATGGTTTGAAAGTAACAGATTAATTATTAATAAAGAAAAAACGATAGCAATATCCTTTCACCAACCACAAAAAATACAGCCAGAATGCCCACCAATAAAACTATATGATAAAGTCNTATATATATGAAATATTAGTTTACATGAAATCCAACTTGAATGTTTTCATCACTAATTCAGCAGTACACTCACACAATACAAGAAAAAAAGACAACTTATTCATAGTTCCATGTAGGACGAGTCTGTGTAAAAACAACTTCAATAATATTGGACTTCGTCTTTTAAACCACTTGCCGCAATATATAAAGGACATACCAGCACTATACAAATTTAAAAAGACTTTGAAAACATTTCTCCTTGAACATTGTTTTTATAGTATAGATGAATTCTTCTTGTTTGGGGATAAATCCTAGTTAATATCAATATTACCAGATAATTCAAGAATAAGTGACTTGTTGAGCTTATACCAGCATGCTATGAATGTATACTGCGCAGTTCTCTTCTGCTTAAAGGAATCAAGACACCATGTTGGATGTGATAGAAAGGACATCATGAGATGGAGGGACGTCTACGTAGGCCGCTTAGAGAGAGATAGAGAATACCAGGCCATCAAGAAGGGCACCAATCTGCTGAGAACATCACATTAGCTATCAATATCATTATTCTAAGGCCACGCCATAGCTTAAGCGATTAGTCGCTGGCTTCCCACCACTGTGATCTGAGCAAGTGGGATTTGTGATGGACAAAATGGCGCTGGGGCAGGTTTCCTCCGAGTACTTCGGTTTCCCCTGCCAATGTTCATTCCATCAAATTCTCCACAAATAAGAATGTAAAAAATTGTAACTATTGTAATTTTAATCTACTTATATATCAAATTGTTAATATTCAGAATTAACTTGACTTGTCATATATCATGTACAATGATCTACAGTGACGAAATCAATCAATCAATCAATCAAAACAGGAAATATTTCTTCAGTTCTCTGTAGCACAATTTTTGGCATTCCTGTTGCAAGAGAATGCAGAATCTGTCATAACCTTGAAACTTTTCTTTATCACACATAATATTTTGTGGGTTACAAGAATCCTAGTGATATAGCATCTTATTTCTAGCATATGTACCAGTATCTGACTAGGAATATTCGCTCATGTCTGTAAGGAAAAATACTAATGACTGTGTACAAATACATATTGATGTGGATTTTTAGGTTCTCACAGCAGAAACTATGAAGTTTAGTGTCGTATGAGGCATTGTGTACTCTTACAGATTGTTGCTCAAGTTTAGAAGGAAGCTCGTTCACCCGTTTTGCTGGAACCTCCTGCTTTCAAAATATTGAGAACAGGTTACTAGACTGCACAGTGTTACATCCTATGAACTGTAAGCCTAACCTACAGATTTAAATCACGGGACTGCAAAACGGTATTCACTATGAATTTGTGCATCCTGCAATTTAACCAATTCACCATAGACCATCAGCTCTCACGATTTCCTTTATAAGTTGGATTGGTATTTGTAATAGGTAATAGGTAATGTGGGCAGTTCCCACAGGTAGGTATCGTGATGTGGGAACTGCCCACATTCAAGCAAATGTGACAACGCAAGCTTCATTGCTTAGCAATGACGAGTAAACAGCGGTTGCTAGGCAAAGCCCACAGCAATGCGGACAGTGACTGGTTTTCTATATGTCCGACTCTAGGGAGTTTACAGTTCTAGATTTCTACAGTTCTACAATTCTAGTTCAGTGTTCAAGGAGTTCACTATTGTTATTATTCTTCAATTCTTCAAACTCAAGTTCGTCCGTGTATACTGTGCAACTGTAATAAATATTATAGAACAGTTCAACAAGTGGTTGTAGTAGTAGTAGTAGTAGTAGTAGTAGTAGTAGTAGTAGTAGTCTTTATTTCCATAAATCCAATACTAGAAATACATTCAGAGGATGTTGAAAAGTCAGACAAANAGTATTAAGTTTACTCTTCCTATTAAAATTCACAAAATACTCTTCCAATACATAAAATGAGTAACAAGACTAGAATTCTTCAGATTCAATTTAAAACTGTTAACACCTTTGTAAAAATATATGAATATGACCATATCAGATTAATACTACATCTTAAAGATACTCAGAATTCTCTTCCAAAGTATAATAAATAAAATATAAATAATAAACTTAAATAAATAAACAGTACAAAAGTACTAAGTCAATGTACAAATATAGATAAATAATACAACTAAAACTCATGAGTATGATCAGTGTCAAAATTACCCTTCAATTAAAATACACAAAATACTCTTCCAAGGTATAAAATGAGTGATTATACAAAAATTCCTTTATCTTTAATTTAAATTGTTTGACATCTCTGTATAATTGTTTCAGGTTTAATGGAAGACTATTGAATAATTTAATGCCCATATAATACGAGCCTCTCTGGTATAATGATAAAGACATCGTGCACAAATCTACGCCTACAGCTATTTTAATGTGTTATTTCGGTGTTGGAAACATCACAAACAAACACAGTAAATATCGGTAAATATCCCGCCAGCCATCTGACGAAAACTCCACCAATCTGCATCAGTGAAGTCACATTTACCCTGTTTACGCACATTGAATATCTTGGAACGTTGATGTGTTGTGCTTGGTGAATTTTGTCGAAATTGTACATTTATGGAGGGCAAAGCAACTATCGCAAATATATCAGTAAAGCGAGCCAAGAAGAGAAAGTTTTCTCTTGAAGAACTGAAGACTTTATCTAGAGAGGTAAGTTAATCAATAATGCAATCTGTAAATGGTAGTGTCATACCTGTGAAGAGGTGCCAGAAGTTGTTAGTCGTATAATAAAATGCATCAATCATGTAATAAGGCACTTCTGTCCAGCTAGATTGATTAAAGCTACAGAATATTAAGCAGCGTATGTCAGTGAAAGGGAAGATTAAACAAAACATAACCTATGGCAGGCATGTGCACCGCGTCGATCGCGGGACGATTTTTGGTCGATCTCATAGGCCCATAAGGAAATTATACAGGAAGAGCATGTAAATTCACTTGTAAAATAATATGATTATATTTAGATTTTGAAGGGAAAATACTATGAAAGTAGTCTATACCTTCAATGTATGTTGCTTTTACAACAAACATCATATGTGTTATTTTTACCAATATTTTTGCTTAAAGCGAGGTACGACCATAGGAGGGGTTGGTAGATCACTGGCAGTTTTGACACTAAAAAGAAAAGGCGTTCACAACCTGTTTGAAGTTGGACATGCCTGATGTATGGCATCACTTCAGAGGTTGGTATATGAGGTACCCATCCTCCTATCAAATATTGTCTGGGGCGGGGGTGGGAGGTTAATGGTTGGAACGTGGAACTGTCACCCACCACTTTTTAATGCGGGTGTTAATGAGCTTTGTGTAACTGCACGTACATCGTAGTGTGGAGCGTCATGAAGCAGAGGGGCAACATTACTTTTTGTTTTTGTCCTTTTAATCTTTGCTCTTTGTAAATGGTAATTATGTTTTGATCAAACACTTACACCAAAGTCAAAGGAAAGAGTCCAGAACATGGCTTTGACACCTCAAAACTAACAGAAGCATGTCATACAGACAGGGACATCATCTGAGAACCTGCCACCAATCATTTGGCCTGCAGCAGGATAGATACACGTTACTTGTATCACTTCGCTTCATGCATGTTTTAACTCCTGGCTTATTGTTGATAGGTCAGCAGCATGTACACATGTATGAATGTAAATGTATGGATAGCTGTTATGAAGTGAGCTCAAGCAGTATGTGCCTGTTTACCCTAATCCCAAACCTCTGTTACTTTAAACATTCAATTAGTCTGATTATGTTTTGTGTCAAAGTGACATGTGAGAATTATACAGTGAAATTTTTGTATTTTTAGAACAGCCACACAGAATGTAAGGAGAAGATTCTGGCATAAATACATTTAGACACACATGATCATTATTGGGTAAAAACAATTACTCAAAACACCAAGTTTTCCCTGAAGTGAAAGTGGATGAAACAGATGCTAGGTTTGAACATTCCCTTAAAAATAACTTAGACATCTTGCACTGGAGACCATAGTGTAATGTTTTATGCTCTGTTTCTGAAAAGAAAATTTTACATTTGAATGTGAACTTTTTATAGAGGTGCAAAGAATGGGTGCAGAGCAGTAGTGATCATTAATGGGATCTGCTGTGATCTGGATGGGTTCTTGTTTGTGATTCTTCTCCTGTGGGCATGTCAATTGCATTACAAATTTGAAGACTCAGAAAGAATTGACACAAAGAGCATGTCTCTCTTCTTCTGGACTGGCTAAATGATTTGTGGCAGGCTTTGAAGTAACCTTCCTATAATAAAAAATATGCATTTTGGAATCAAATTCAGCCCTGAAAGTTGGCATGCACAGGGAGTTGGTTAAGCAGGACAGGTACATTGATGGACGTTACTGTCATATACTGTAACTGATTTGCTCAAAGCATTGTTGGGCAGTGGCTCGATGAACACCCCGCAATACGCACACACAGCAATAGGATGAATGTTTCAGCTCGTTGCTAGACATCAGTCAGCAAGCCAATGGTCTGGCTGGGTAGCAGTGACATGGCTTGTGTTTTCTGTGTGGTCCATGTGGATCCTATATAATGAGGATCTGTTGTAGCTTAGATTAGTGCAGTGCAGTTGAGATGACACGGACGAGAATGGAGCATGTCCTGAGTGAACTGTGAAGATTATTTTAGTACAGATTAGGGCAGAGGAGTACAGAGTGATTGAAGATGAAATAGCAAGAAGACTTCATAGTGATTTGAAGTGCTAGTTTCTGTGTTAAGATCTGTTGCCAGGCGATCACTAGTGAAGATGGAGTATCCTAGTGCATGTGCAACGGTGAATTGAAAGTGAGTAGAATAGCGATAGCATTATAATTGAGTGTGATTAAGAGAACTTGTAACCGAAGTGATAATAAATCCAATCATCCTATCGAGAACCTGTTATTTTTGTCATGCATACTCCCATACATGTGACAGTACTAAGTTCTAATATTTTTATATACTGAATTTTATTTGATAAATTCGGTAAATTCATTTGGGTTTGGGATAAAGCAGGAATTATGACTGACCAGTGCATAAAGGTAAATAGATCTGACAACTGTAACATTTATTGCTGATAAAAAATTTCATCAAAATCTTAGTTTTTTCATAAATGAAACACGGGCAGACACGGCCTCTCCTCTGTGCCTTTATTTTATATACTTTGCTAAATAACAAATTCAAAATTGATAACAACCATGGAATGAGCAACTCACTGCAGTTATTTAACTCTGTTTGTCACATGTCGGAACAGTTGGTGCACATGAGATCACATGATTTTCCGTTGCTGATTGCTCCACCCTCCTAACCTAGTAGGCAGTGACTGTGAGAAATCGTAAACAAGTGCTGTAGAAATGTATACCAGTGCTTCAAAATATCATTGCATTGCATTTTTCTACTAGACAAGAGGACTGAACATGAAAACAGAGACATGACAATATCCTGCCAGCCATGCTACTGAACAGCTCTATCTGCATGTTAAATACACGTAGCTGAAATGCATAAATGAAACTTCTGAAGTAGTGTGAGAAAGATATCACATATTGGTATGACAGTTTGTATGATATATTTATGCTCATTTCATTTTTCTGCTTTTTTCAAAGTCAGTCCCCTGTTACAGTAAGTTTTCTAGACAGCTCTGCCATGAAGTCATGTGTTGTGGGTCACCCTGACTTAAACAGGAGTGGTAAGCTCCCCCACCTGAGTGAATGGTTTCAAGAAGTCTCACTGTTATAATAATTTTGAGACTTTTATGAGTAATTTCCATCATAGAACTCTGGGTTGATTTCAATTTAGCCTTTGTATAATTATTTAAGAAGATTGACAGTAGTACACGTTGATGTCTCACTTTTTCTGGCTTTGTAATTTTGCTATCACCAGCATAGGCTGTTATGATAGTTCTGAGTGTAATAGTAGTCCCATATATTTTATGAACATACAAGTAATTTCTAAAACAAACATAGAGAATGTATGTTCGTCATGCCCTATTACTTCCAGAAATAAACATGCTGCTTTTGGCAAGACAGTTCTCAGATATGTATATAGGATTTTTCTCATAGTTTTATATCAGCAAAGAAGTATCTTGCATTTTGAAGCTTTGAATGGTATACTGCAAAGCACTGGAGTCTGAATGTGATTGACTAAAAGGTATGTTGAACAAGAAAATTTGTAAAAATGATTATGTGTATTGTCTTGTAAGATATGATCACATTGGTTCAGGAATCACATAGAGAATATCTGGAGAATGCACGTCATGTTTCTTTAGACAAAGGAAGGCATAAAGATGAATCACATTACAGTAATGTTTGCTGGTAAAGGTGTGTTATAGGTTCTGTTATGTGCATATGTGGAGAAAGCATTACTGAATAATGCTGTCACTTGTAAATTACTACACAATGAGTTGGGGTTGGAAGTGGATTTTATTTGACACTCGGTATTCTTATCTACAAATGATGTCAACAGATTACAAGTATTGACAGGGTGTCACAGACTTTAGATCATTCTTGCTTGGTTCCTAAGAGCTCTGTCAAAATAGACTTTTCTAGTTTGCAGGCTCAGATAACAGGAGAATGCACTGTCTTGCTTGGCAGGTGTCTTTATAATGCACTGTTGCAGACAACTGTGGGAACAGTGAGCTCACCAGAACTTTGACTGTGGTGGCATGTCTGTTGCCACAAATATGTTTTTCTCATGACATTGCCTACTAATGGATGCCTCTGTGATATTTCTGTGATTCAAAGATTTTGAGGTTTCTGGATTTTATGTATTCTGTCACAGAACATAATCCACTTTGGTCATGCCATAGCCATGTCAGTTTTGTTAGGCACTGTCTTCTCACTCAATCTCAGATTGTGTCCTGCTTGACATCATGTGAGATTTGTGATGGACAGAGTTGTGCTGGAGCAGGCTTTTTTTTTCTGAGATCCTTCAGTTTTCTCTGCTAATCATTATTCCATATGCAGATACCCCACAAACAAGTAGTCTATACCAGACCACTACAATATAGCGACAGCACCAATGCAGAGAGCAGCCCATACATATTCCACTCATAAGAACAACGTAATATACATCACATACTGAATAATGAGCATAAGCTCCATAAGACATTACTAAGGTCATGACTATACGACCTATCCCATGTGAGAAGATTCCGATATGCGGGTGCTCCATGCTATAGTCGCTTCTACCCTCATAAAACCAGGTCAACATGTAGTTGTCGCAGAATCTTACCACAGATACATAATTTTAACTTTCATGACTTAATCTTTAGTTTCTAATTTTAATACTTATATCTTTAATTTTAAATTATATTATCTAAGGATATTCAGTTTTAAAATTTTGACCAAAACTTAATACATGTATTTATGCATTTCTATAATTCCAAGACACAGTAAAGATCCTTATTTGAATAACTGGATGATTATTAATTGCAATTCATCAATCCCTACTGGAGCATTGTACACTTGATGATGACCCGGTGTAAGGGTCGAAACATGTTGTGCCTATAAAAGCATAATAAAAGCAAATATTGATACAGTAGTGTATTCTTTGTTTTTAAATACAGAATAATGTTGTGTAGACGGCATACCTTATATACTTTTGTTCATCTTATTTATGACACACAACAGGATGCACACTATTAACATTATTCCATTATCTGTCACTGTCTGCTGCAGTATGTGACAGCCCTGGGCAACATATTATGACATCTGTGGTCTTTAAGTGGATGGTTACAGAGTAAGGAAGTTAAGTTTGTATGTGTGCTGCTCTGTCAACACTAATACATGTAGCAAATTACATTGTAGCTGTTGGTTCTTTGAGATTGTGCATGTAACAATATGACATAACTTCTCACGTTATGAGCTACATCAACACACATTAAGAACTGTCCTCCTGTTTCTTCTTTTGTCCGCAAAAAGGAACATAAAAATGCTTGTACTGAAACTTAGCTTCATGTCTGGATGTTGAGGTGATTTGCTTGGAAACAGATCATCATCATCATCATCATCAGTAATCTGTCAAGACGACAGGTCCACAGTCTCTTTCAAAACAATTCCTCCACTTAATGCGATCTAGAGCTTTCTCCTTCAAATGACAGTATCCTCTTCTGTCCCCAAGGTCATCCAGCATCTTCTTACGTCTTCTTCCTCGTCTTCTTGTCACTTCTATCCGCCCATCTATCTTTCCTTCGATAGCTTCTTTTAGAAGGCAGTTTCTGCGTAAAACATGACCAATCCAATTAGCCTTCCGTTTTCTTATTTCATGTAGGATATTCCTCTGCTCACTGACTCTAATTAACACTTCTTCATTTCTCACATAATCGGTCCAACTGATCTTCTCCATTCTTCTCCAACACCACATTTCGAAACTTTCCAGATGTTTCTGATCTACTGCCCTAAGTGTCCATGTTTCAGCCCCATACAGAGCTATGCTCCAAATGTAGCATTTCACTAGTTTCTTCCTCAAATTTAAGTCCAATTTGCTGGTAAAAAGATTCTTCTTCTTGCTAAATGCAGCTTTTGCCATGGCAATCCTGGATTTAATTTCACAAGTACACCTTCCATCATCTGTTAACAAGCTACCCAAATATTTAAAACATTTCACATTCTCCACTTGTTTTTGGTCTATCTTTATTGTGACTGGGGTTGGTTGTCTCGAAATTTTCATTACTTTTGTTTTCTCCACATTCATTTCCATGCCATAGCACCTTCCAATTTCAATTAGTCTATCAATCATGCCCTGTAGCACAGTTTCTTCCTTAGCCATTAACACAAGGTCATCTGCATATTTCACAGTTTGAATAATTTGCCCTCCTACTTTGAAGTCACCGAGCCCATCCAGAGCTTCCTTGGTAAGGCATTCGCTGTACAAGTTGAACAGAATTGGTGATAAACAGCATCCTTGTCGAACTCCTCTTCCAATCTGCACACTTCCTGTCTCCCCCCTGTCCAGTCGTACTCTAACTTTCTGATCCATGTACAATTTGCTAATCAATCTTCTTTCATGCCAATCGATACCTGTTTCTTTCAGGATCTGCATTAATTTGGTCCAGTTTACCCGGTCAAATGCCTTCTGCCAGTCTATGAAGCAAACACACAGTTCTTCATCTATCTCCAAAGTTCGTTCCGCTATAATTCTCATCATCCCAATTGCATCCCTGGTTCCTTTTCCTCTTCTAAATCCAAACTGATCTTCTCCAAGTACATCCTCTATTTTCCTTTCAATTCTTCTTTTAAGTATCTTTGCTATTATCTTTGCTGTATGTGCAATAAGACTTATTGTGCGATGGTCGCTGCATTTTGTAGCTTTTGTCTTTTTCTTTAAGGCAATCATTGTAACTTCTGTAAAGTCCTTGGGCCACTCTCCACTTTCATATATGGTGTTCATTAGTTTTGTCAGTGTTTTCAAACCACCTTCTCCCAGTAACTTGAGCACATCTCCAGGTACATCATCATCTCCTGTAGCCTTTCCCTTCCTCATTTCCTTGATAGCTTTTTCCACCTCACTTTGTAAAATATATGGTCCTTTCTCGTCTGTATCTACTTCTTCTTCCGGTTCAACTTCTAAGGTTTCTGGCCGATTAGGTCGATCATATAGTTCTGAAATATAATTTTCCCAAATTTTCAGCACTTGCCTCTGATCTACTATTCTATTCCCCTGGGAGTCTTCGATGCCAACATTTTGAATCCCATGATTCTCTTTCCATCCTAGTTCTTTTGTCTTCATGTACATCAAATCATAACGGCCTGTTCTTTGAAATTCCATAATCTCATTACATATCTTCTCAAGATATTCCTTTTTGGCCCTGTCCGTGGCTCTTTTCAATTCATTCCTCAGTCTCCTGTATTTCCTCCTGCCTTCTTCATTGTTGACATTCTTCCATTTCCTTCGCTCCTCCATTTTACTCATCATCTCCTGTGTAACCCATGGTTTTCTTGCTATCTTCTCAACTTTACCTACCAAATCACTGATAGTATCTAACATGCATTCTTTTATATCGTTCCACTGCGCTTCAGCATTTCCGCTTTCACCTTCAATTGCACCGAGTTTCTCTTCTAGAGTCTCTTGCACGCTTTGTCTTTGAGCATATAACTTCTCCAAATCCCATCTGGGTCTGCGCTTTCGAAATCCTATAATTTTCTTCAACCTGGTTCGGAACTTGGCAACCAGCAAGTTGTGGTCAGAGTCAATGTCTGCCCCAGGAAGCGTCTTCACATCCTTCACACTGTTTCTGAATCGATGTTTCACAAGGATGTAGTCCAGCTGATGCCTCTTCCAATCCCCAGGTGCCTTCCATGTGTAAATTCTTCTCTTTGGCTTCTTGAACCAAGTGTTGGTAACAATCAATCCATTTCGTTCACAAAAGTCAATAAGCATTTGACCTCTGTGATTCCGTCTTCCTAGTCCATGTGATCCAACAATATTCTGATATGGTTCATCTCCAACAATGCTGTTCCAGTCTCCCAATATGATGCTGTTTGTGTCTCCTCTTCCATCTTCCTGAAGAATTTCTTCAATTGTGTCATACACTTTTTCCACTTCATCGTCTTCATACTCTGATGTTGGCATGTACACTTGTATAATCAGTATATCTACCGGTTCTGCCTTTAACTTCAGAGCAATAATTCTGTCATTACAAGCAATCTTCTTAACAACACTCCTCACTACACTTTTATGCACCAGCCTGTTAGAAAGAGCCTGTTAGATTTTTCAGAATTATGTAAGTAACTTTTGATTTCTAGGAGCTTATAAATCACATACAACAATTGGAAGCACATAATAATCAGCTGAAGAATATAATTAATAAATCAGTTGCAGAGGAATGTACCAGAAATAATTTATCTGGAAAGAAGGATCGGAAGTTTAATTTTTCCAAGTAAGTGATATTGAAGCTGATCTTAAAGAAATAGGCTGTGAAGATGGAACTGGATTGAAGTAGCTAAGAATACGGTCTGATGAGAATTTGTGAAATGATGCTTATGAACATTTAAGTTTCATAAGAATAGGAAATCTCTTTGAGTGTCTGAACAGCCATAAGTTTCTTTAGGAAGCTGTATACTATAAAATAAATCAGTTATTGAATAAGTCAGTTCTTCTACTCTGTACTTAACCAATCAATCAACTATTCCTGAATTCAAATTTTAAAATATTCAGTCTAGGACTCCATTTTTCTGAATCATGTATTTTATCGACAGATGCTCCAAGCGGCACGTTATGCTGAAACTTCTGTACTTGGGATGGGAGTATCAGGGATACACTACACAAGAAGATACCACAAATACCATAGAACATAATTTGTTTACAGCTTTGGTCAGGTGCTGTTTGGTAGAGAGTCGCCAGACTAGCAACTATAGTCGATGTGGGCGTACAGACAAAGGTGTTAGTTCTTTCTGTCAGGTATATGTCAGAGTACTGTGTTGTACAATACTTTAGTTTATAGATGTGTGAGTGTATGTGCATATGTGTGTAACAGGCTTTGTATAGCATGTTCATTACTACTGATACTGCAGTTTGTAATAATAATAATAATATCAAAGGTACTTTAATGTGCACCCTGGCTGCAGATGGTGTCATGACCAAATGTTTTTTGTGTGTTATTTCAGTAGAGCTCAGATATTACCATAATATTTTTCATTGATACTGCCTTCCTGCAAATTACATATCTCAGGATCATCGAACCAGAACATTTTGTAACTGTTCTTAAATTAAGAAAGAAATATTATTATTTTGTACATTTTCATTGTAGGCATCCAGTATATTTATTTTTAGTGTCAATTAGTTACAGTTTCACATGCAACACTGTAGTTGCATATAGTTGCACTATGGTCTGTACAGTTTATTAACTTTAAAAGTTTGAAAGTTTAAAGGTCCATCACTATGTGTTTTGACCAGTGTAGGCATCATCAGGTGTTAAAATTTTTGGCAAGGAAATTGCTGTCTTATGTTGCTTCTCAGCCCATGCACCGTGACCTACAGTGGTCTATTGTGCTTTGCTTATGTTGTGAAATATACAAGTCCTCTCAATGAACCTATGCATCTTATGAACATATGTGTAAATTTTCTATTAGAATTCATGTATGTGAAGTTTTTTATGTCATTTGATTACTTATTTGTGTACTTAGTTCAATTATTTGGATGTGTTCTCTCTTGTTGTGTTTTTAAACTTTTAAAGGTAATAAATTTTGTAGAATATAGTGTTGCACATGAGATTGTAACTATCGACACCAAGTGAACAGTCCAACAGAATGCTACAGTATAATGTTATGTTTATTGTGTTGCGATGTCAATTTGCTGCAGAATTTCAAAATTACCCGTTAGGATTCTTCAGATCATGATTCCTGATTTAAGAGACCAAGTGGATAAAATTTCTACATTTTCTTTTACTGTTCCAATGAAATTTGTGCAAGGCACAGACATTCCTATTGTCATAATTGAAACAATTTGTTGCTGCTTGTTATTTTATTCCAGAGCTTGTGCATGCATATAGTGTACATCCGTGTTTCTCAACGTTTTTAAGCCCAAGGACCAGTAAAATGAAAAAAATCTACAAACCACTAAGTTATGTAGAACTTTTTTTTAACCTATGTGGTATTACCAATATTTGGGACCACTGTATCGTTTGTAACATAATAAATCTGAAAGCATGTTTTCAATACATATGGAAACATGATCAATTAAATTGGAAGTAAACTATTAAAATTGTATCATCATTGAACAGTGTTTTAATCTTTATTAAAAAAATAAAGAATTGATTGTTCATTGATTGATTGTTGAGCTTGTTGGCCCTTACAGAGTTCCTGGATACATGGTTCAGTATTGGTCAACTTCAGTTGAAGCTAGGCACTCACACTAAGATGATATCTGTATTTTGTTTTTATTTGAAGGAGTGATGAAAAGCCTTTCTCACAAAGAGAGGCTGTTGAAAATTGCATGACGATTTTCAACGCTTCGTCAGATAATTTGGGAAATTCACTTCTCACTGAGGGCGATATCCAGAATTGGACCAAACCAAGAACATGGAATTGCATTTTAAGCCCACTGTCACTTGAAAGCTCAGTTAACTGTTCTTTTTTTCGATAACGGAAGGTTGTTCTCGTGACTGTAAGCCTGAAATGATCGCAAACCAACAGAAATTTCTCATAAAAGTTATTTGGAATATATTTCAAATTTCTGTTTCACAGTTTTGAGATGATCACAGACCCTTTCCAGAAACTCAGAATCAACAGAAATATCATTTTCCACTAAAAATAATCCAATATTGGAAAAGGTGCATATTTGTTGTCTTTTACATAACTAATCCATAACGCCAGTTTTTTCTCGAATGCCTTTATTTTGTCATAGGTATCAGGAACAGTTAAAGAATTTCCCTGAAGGGAGAGATTTAGTTCATTTAATTTAGGAAAAATGTCTGAAAGATTCATTTACAAACAGTAAAACTTTATGCTTTAATGGAAATAACCTTGTTAGTATTTTGCCCCTGGAAAGCCAGCGAATTTCAAAATGAAGGAAAAGTTATGTATATTCACTGCCTATTTCATTGTAAAGTATGGAAAATAACCTGTTACTTAACGGTCGAGCCGTAATAAAATTAACTAGTTTTACAGCGTTATCTAACACAGTTTTAAATTCTGGTGGCATTCCTTTGGATGCCAACACTTCCCTTTGAATGAAAAATGTACCCAATTCATATCCGGAGCTACTTCCTTGACCTCAGAAACACCCCCACCATGCCTGCCTGTAGGGACACAAGCTCCATCTGAACAGAAGCCCACACATTTTTCCCACTGGATCCCTTTGTCTCTTATGTAATTATTGAGAATGTGAAATACTTCTTTGGGTTAACAAAGTTCTACAAAACAGAATGTCGTCATTAATGTTGTTATCATGCACATATTCTACGTAGGATATTAAGTACATATAATTTGCAACATCGGTAGTCTTGTCTATTTGTAACACATAATGAGGGTCCTTCTTAACTCTTTTGATTAATTCAATTCAATAAAGTTTATTTCAAATTCAAAAATAGATCCAGATACAGGCTGTGAAACAACCATTGGATATAGAATGAGTCACAGATCAAAAAACAAACATTCCATTCCCACAGGAACAAGTCAAGGCATTCATAATATAAAACAAAAAAAGAACATATCAGCCATATATATATACAACAAAACTCCCCCAGTATAGAACTCTCAAAGGTTTCAGGTGTCAGTACAAGCACTTTTTTCATTTCATTACTCATCTATTATTTCCATAAAATCCAATACTTCAGGATTAACTGAGATTCTGCGTCTCCTAAGTCTGTGACTGATAGTGTCATTTGAAAGAGGAATAAAGTCAGTGTCTTATAGTAACTTGTTGTCAAACGTACTTTTAACACATCTTTTATAGCTGAAAGAAGTAAATTTTCCCCAATAGAATGAGGTTTCCCTGTTTTGACTAGCCTCAAATTTAAGGGGTAGGATGCTTCCAGTGCCCTGCTATTAGTCGAACCCATGACCGAAACTATATTTTGCCCATGATTTAATGCCCCTAAGTGTTTCTGAAAAAATTCATTTGGCTTATTTTCCACATCACAGTGTTTAGTTTCTAAATGTCATCAGTGTTTCGCAGGTTTCATGCACTTGTTCGACAACACTTCATGACACAAAACACATTGAGGTTTCTGTTCACTTTCATCACCATGCCAATTAAACCCAAATTCAAAATATGAACTGCCATATTCCCTACTGTATTTTTTCTTTGAACTGCTTACTTCTTCGACTTTAATAGTATCACATTTACTCGCCATTACAACGCGTGTATCACAATTAGTGTTAGCATCACGTGTTTTGTTTGCTTTTCTTTGAAAGTCCCTGTTCTAAGCCACTTTTCCATTATTAAAAATGTTTCCAAAAGTATATACAGAAACTGGAGTTAACTCATGACACACTTTGTCCAACTGTCACATAGCACTTATGAAGATATACTGAGTGTTCATTGAAGGAGGAAAACCTACAGTAATAAATAACCAGGGCCCAGATTTTGATGACATAAAAATGTTTTAAAAATGACAGAAAAAATCCGGAAAAATGACGAAAAATCCAGAAAAATTATCTAAAAGTTAAAAAATGTATCATGTCATGGAAAATCTGCTAATTGTTTTAAAGTACACTTTCAGTCTTTATTAACACTGTGAACTCAATGTTACTCTTTTAAGTTCATCCTTGTTTTGTGTTGAAAATTAAGCAATATGTGTTTGAATTTGAAGCTAAATGTTTCAATATGATTTTTTCTACCACACTGGAACACTTATCAAATGTACATATATGGTATATATTCCAATATTTAAGTGCCACCTCATTCAGAGTTGCAATATCATATCAACTGTACTCAGTCTTCACAATTCACGCTCCATTCCTGTCCTTGTACTCTCTACTGCTGAACCCTCCTGGTCTCTGCACTAACTGAAGCTCAAACTGGTCTGTGTTATATAGGCACTGCATGGACAACACAGCAAACAAGTCACATGATTTGTAGTATAGTAGGAATGTGATGTCATTATGCCTGCGTGACCCATTGCGTAGAAGTGGGTTGCTGCCCTATTCCATTGTTGTGTGCATGTATCAGAGGGTTATCTAGCAACACTCTGGCCATCCACGTTACAGTATATACAATTCAGATTCAGTACAACCCATACATCTGTAACCCTTTAAATGGGGGAAGGGACATCTCTTCCTTTGGGAAAATATGGTACCCATTCATTTTGACGTGACCCCAACTTGCAGAGCAAAAGCAGCTGTCAGAAAATTCTCAGAGTCTGAGTATGAAAAGTTAGCATTTAAGATTGCAATTTTTGTCCTTCATTTCATCTAAAAAGTTAGAGATTTGTACCTGCCTTATTGTTTTCTTACCGTTACCGAGAGGTTGGTTCTGCTCCTGTATTAGGTGGTATCACTGGATATTCGAAGCAGGCTGACACCAGAGCAGCTGTCTGGAGGTGGCAACACTATTGAAGAGGAATTAGATTATTCAAAGCTCCTGAACCGAGTTCTCCCACCTGACATCAGGGTGTTGGCATGGTGTCCTGCACCTCCAGATTTCAGTGCTAGATTTGACTGTAAGGAAAGAACGTACAAATATTTCTTCCCTCGAGGAAATCTTAACATTGAGGTGTGTATGAACAGTGGTTTTCAGCATCATTTGGCATATTAAAATGCTCCTGAATAAACTGTGATTCATAGTTATTTGGGGACTGAAGGGGATTAAATCTCTGGTGAGTATGTGTAGCCATTCTGGGCATTATTTAGGGTTCTGTTTTTCAGTTAAGACTAGTGTACCAGTGAATATCCACAGGGCTGCTATCCAGTTAGCCAGCACATTTGCAGTTTAATTAGGAATGAACATGTGAATATGTTGATTGGGATCTTTTCACATTTTCTGCATATCAAAATCAAATATATGACTTTTGTTAACTAGCACATTTTACTCTCCAGTTTAAGTGCATATTTGTGTTTCTTTTGTCTTTTCAGCCTTATTTATTTTTATGGAACCGTTGGGTGGGCATATTGTTGCAGAACACACATCAGTTTTAAAACATGAAATTGTATGTGGGTGATCTTCAGTCATCCACTTTTCTCATTTCTTCAGTTTGCTGTCCCACTGAGGACCCAGATGATACAGACTCTCTAATGCTCATGTGACCCTTGGTTCGGTTGTGCCACTGTGGGGTGTTACTGCCGAGTGGAAGCTGTGATGTAATTAACCACAAGTCCTTGAAGCTATGTGGGCCTGCATGTGTGTATTTCTGGGGAGCCATGGGCTGTTACTCTGATGGTAGGGCACAGTGTCACAGCTCACTGATGCTGTTGGAGTTGCTGTCAGGTGTGGAATTGCCAGTGATATCCTAAGAGGGGGAACTCCTCTTAAATATTTCTTGAGATGGAATGTGGCAGAGGTGCTGATACCAGCACAGGTTGGAAGATTTTGGTGTCTCGCTTTCTCATCCCCCCCCCACTGGCAAGCTAATGCCAACATTTCTGGATAAGGGAACTTGCCCCTTGCAAGTTAATATTGCGTACACCTCTCTATCCAAGAATATTTTATCTATTATTATTGGCCTCCACCACTCTGGCATATGTCTCTGTAGAGGTGCATTTCAAGGAACTAGAGTTTGGGAGTCTGTAGGCAGAGACAGAGGAAGCTTAGCTACAGAAGCATTGCTCCTACAGGACAGTGCACTGGCATTTTCTGCAGATAAGGTGAGCAATACCAATGCAAGCCAACCAGGAGGCATGAGATACAAGGAGCTTGTGGATACACTTCATACCGTCCACGTCCCATCGTCACGTCCAAGATCTCCACCATGTCACCCTGAAATATATTTGGACCACTTTCCTAAGGTGTATATATCTTCAGACACTTTTCACAGCACACAGTGCAGAGTACACTGTTCTCTTCACAGATGGATCAATGTGTAGCTCTGTCAGGAGAGAGGTCATGGTTGTCTAACTCTGGACCAGTCACACTCATTGGACTTACTCATGCCTTTTCTTGAAGAGCTGTTACCTGTCTGTACACCCTGTGGGGGATGTCTTGCAATTTTACATGTTCTTATAAAATGCCCAGCTTATAGGCAAGAATGACTTTCCTTCCTCCTTCACAACATGCCATACAACATTGTTGGGGATTGTTATTGTAGTATGTCAAATGTTTTGATATTGGTGACCAACATGGAACTCTCCAACTATCAACATGCTAATAAGTTTGAGTAGCAGACTCCTATACAACCAGGAATTTTCCACATCTTTTAACTATATATTAATGTGTAATAATCATATTATACCCCTGATATTACTGTCTGACCCGTTTATGGTCAAATGATTATTGTAAACCTCTATGATTAATGAGAGTGAAAGTTGACACAGCAGATAATGTTAGGAAAATGGTTGTCTAGGGCAGGGTGCCATGTGGTTTATTGGATGGGTATTGGTGTTTTGGGGTTGCTTGCTGCCTGCATCTTCAGGGAAGAGGTTGTCCTATGGATGGGGTAGCTTGTACTGAGGTATGATTATCTGCCTAGCTGCATGGCTTGTTCTAGGTTCCATTCTTTGGATTTTTGTTGCTGTTGTTAAGTCATAAATTTCCAACTTGAACTTTTAAAATGGGCACAAATAGCCTTAGGAGCTGACACATCTCTAATACTCCCCTCCCCCCCACACACACAACGCACACAAAACTTCCTGCGCGTGTGGGTGTGCGTGTGCATGCATGTACATGCGTGTCCCCCTCTCTGCAGATGCCTGTGAAACTCCAGTTTCTTGTGCTTAGTGCCTAAACAATTTCCAAATACTGATGCAACTTGTATGACACTTTACACATTCCTCTTGGATTGTTTCCTTTGTCACAAACTGAACATGTGGAATGATGGCATTCTTACAAGCTGCCATACACAAACCTTTGTTGGAACTCACTTTTTTTGGGCATTTACAAGCAAACCCCGGAATGCACTTTTTGTAAATGTTCTTTCTTACGAAGGATTCAGCAGTAAAAACTTACTGTTGAAACTGTTACATCATGTGTCTTATTGCAAAAGTAACATATCCAAATCTTAACATGAAAAGATCTGCATAACCAGAACCAATAGTCATAACTGTACTGATTGCAGTAAGTTAGTTGACTAAATGATTCATTGTCATATTGGAAATTGTGTAGTGATCACAGAAGCAACGTACTGTATGCTCTGTTAATGGTGTTGCTGTGTTTCGTATTGGTCAGTTAGTCTGAGTGGCCTTTTTACAGTAACCGGTAATGACATTCTCTGTATAAATGCAGAATGTCTGTAGTGCAACCATGGACACCCTTTATCGTGCTCCCTTTATGATCACAAAATACACTGCTTATATTACAGTTCCGTCAACAATGAAACCACTTTATTCCTTAGAATTTTCACTTTTTATAACATGTTATGGCCATCATCATGTACTTCTTTTTGCCAAAACTGTTACCTGCATTGAATATTGGTCATAAATTTCATGCGTAACTGCGTTGTTCCGTATTAATGCTGCGGTAATGATCCAGCTAATATTAGTCAGTCCACCATACACTGTGACTTACTTTCTATTGCAATTAACTAAAATTTCATGAAACTTTTTGAAAATTTAAATTGAATACAATGTTCTTGCACATTGAAACAGCAGGCCACTGAAACAAAAACAAAGATGGTCGAAATATATACTGTTTGGACAAGTGGTTGACACCCTAGAGAAGTGTAGGAAGTGTACAAAATTTTAGAAATTTATGATTTAAATTGAATTTTAAAAAATGTTAATGGAATTTTAGATAAATGCAATAGAGCGTGAGTTACAGTGTATAGTGGATTGACTAATTTTAGCTGGATCGTAACCACAACACTAATATGAAATAGTGCAGTTACACGTGAAATATATGACCTATATTCAATGCAAGTAACAGTTTTGGTGAATAGAAGTACCTGAAGTTGGCCGATTGGGACCGAAAAATGTTGTAAAAAGTGAAAATTCTAAGGAATAAAGTGATTGCATTGTTGATGGAACTGTGGTATAAATATTCTATGTGAATGTTATAGAAATGCAACAGGATGCTTAAATACAATATTGTAAATACACTGCTTATGTTATTGCAAGTATCACATTTCTGTCTCAACTCAGCACTGTAAATAATGGTTTGTTATAAAGAAAGAACGGGCAATAATTTATTCTGGTTAATCAGCTTAATTTTTTTTTCATATATTAAGTTTCCTATGTCAAGTGTTGAAGAAAGCCACTTACTGAGACAGAACAAAACTTAAAGTCATTTTAATTTGTTTGTTAAATTCATTGGCTTCTATAGATCCCGAAATTACTGTGCGTCATTTTGCTTAGGCAAAATCCATTCATACAGTGCCTCAATATTTTAAATTTGATCTTTATAGAATTTTTCATTTCGCCTTGCCTTTGCAAATTTGAAGCTAGAAACTAATTTAGAGAAATCATTCTTCCAGTTCTTACTGTCATAAAGGATTTATATGCCAATAGTAAATTCCTTCAGTAGTACAATTAAATTCTCACCTTTTTATAAATACCCTGTTTCACTTTGATTTGAAGTTCACACATCAATACACTCCTTTCCTCCTTATTCTGTGATTTCTGGCAGGAGGCTACAGCAGCATATATATATATATATATATTGGCTGTGCCATAGCAAAAATTGTTAGTCTCTGGCTTCTCACTGCAGTGGACTATCTTCAGTCCGAGGTCAGGTCATATTTGATTTGTGGTGGTCAAAGTGGAATTGGGCAAATTTTCTCTGAATACTTAATTTCCCTGCCAATTCTCATTTCACCAACTGCTCCTCATTCAGTAATCATACTGTAGTCTTGAGTGCCATTGAGTAACAGACTTAAAGGAAACCAACATATGTTATTATTATAAACACTCACAAGAAGCAACTGTTGTACCATTTCATTTATCTGCAATGGTGGTTGCTTACCGAATGAACAGACTACTGGAAGTGCTCTGAGCAGCAGCGTTAGTACTGAATGACAGTTCAGAAAGAAATGTTCCATTCATTGGGTTTACCAGTCTCAGGAATGTGGTTCTTGCAGACTGAGACTCATTTGGAATCGACTCCAAGGACTGTTAAAATTAGTTAAATTTACCCAAATGTTCTCGATTTTAGTGTGCCAGACTATTCAGATTTTGTCATTCAGATCTGAGCATGGAGAATGATAACCACCAACTTGAGATAAGATACAATTTGTTAATACTGATCAGTTTGAATTCATTAATTATTATGAGATATTGCACTTAATAAATTTTCAACACATATAACTTTAATTTCTTTCTTTAGGCAATGGACGCAGCAGTACGTTATGCGGTGGGGTGTCATGATTTTCGCAATCTCTGCAAAATGGATGTTGCAAATGGGGTCTGCAAATATGATAGACGGATTCTTAGTGCCGAAGTGAAAGTCTTAGCTATGGATCCATTTGACAATAATGCTGATACTGCATCAGGTTTGTTGTCCTTAAAATGTTTTTATTCCAATTCTTCACAGTAAAACTTCTTCAGTATAAAATTTTTACATTTTGTTAACACATTTTTTGATAATTGATGTAATGAAAGTTAGTTATTGTAACTTTGCATAAATTTAGTCATCATCTTTATGAGATAGCTTGATTAAAGTATCAGACTTGAACAGTATTCATAAAAACTGTATTTGTGTTACATGGTACTTACAGCAAATAATTTGAAGTAGCAGATTTAATGGTAGACTTACATAAATATACTAATGCGAGATTTCTTATTTATGGCTGTTCGTGGGATAAGAATTTTTGTCCATAAATTGCATTTTATGGCTGTTTTTGAATTGCTGTAACTCTTTTGAGATATGGAGCTCAGGCTACTTTCATTTTAAAGGCAAGTGAATGAACTTTCCATGGAGGAAGTACACATTACATTCAGAAAATATGGTCACCCAATTTGATGTTTCACCCAGAATTTCACAAAAAACTGAAAGTGTCAGCTCCTGCATTCAGTTTATATTTATATTGAATCTGAAAGAATTTATTTAGAATAAAGAAGAATATACAGGGTGTCCCAG